AGAGCTCTCGAATACCAGACCGAAGTGGATCTTCAATCCTCCTGGCGCAACCCCATTTCAATGGAGTGTGTGAAACGTTGGTCAAGGGGGTCAAGAAGGCGCTGGTGAAGACTTTGGAGCGAGCGGATCCCACCAATGAGGGAACACAGCGTTCTGCAGAGCTGAGGACTACTTAACACACCCTCCCACTGACAGCCGTCTCGTCTGATCCAAGCGACCTGCCGCCGCTGACACCGGGAGACTTCATCACGGTCCATCAAGAGTTGAGGGATGATAAAGTCTCGCGTCCGCAGGTGCGTTAGCGAGCACAGATGGCTGCACCCCTCCGACAGCGCTGGAGACGGTTGCAGGAGCTTAGCGCAGAGTTCTGGCGTCGCTGGGTGCGTGAATACCTGCCGTCTCTGCAAGCGCGACAGAAATGGACTGAAGTCAAAAGGAACCTGAGAGAAGGAGAAGTGGTCCTGCTTATTGATCCCAACGTGCCGCGAGGAACCTGGCCGACGGCGCGAGTCGAGAAGACGTATCCAGGACCAGATGGCCTGGTCGGAGTGGTTGATGTGAAGACGTCAAAGGGTCTATTCAAGAGGGCAGTAACCAAAATCAATCCGCATGGAATGAAGCAATGGTGTTCTGGTGGGGTATGTAGAAGTGATGTTCCGAATGACGAGAAGGGTCACTCAGGGTCGGGGGGAGATGTTAAGGAGGATCTGTTGTATGTTGTGCACGAGCGTTGCTCGCGCGACGGTGTATTTTTTAAGAAGGCAATAAAGCAGTTTTTGGAGAGATGAAGTGAAGGATATGTAATGTTTTGATAGTAAGAACAGTTAAGTTAATTTAGAACATGACGAGTTCATTTATTAACGACTTAAGTTAATCATAACGTAAAACAACGCCGGGACATATCAAAACAACAGTGCCTAATAACCAGTGTTTGTCCGCGGTAGTAATCTGCTGAGCGAGGCATATTGTATTTGTTATGTAAGGATATTTAAAGCGATTTCAAAATCATTCAACATTTCAGAATCATTCAACTCTGTGAATTATCCTCTTCTCATTTTTATAAATGTTTACGGGCACCCATTAAATAATGGCATGTACATGGATGTTAACGTAACCATTAGTTTAGTAGTGGAATGAAGAGAGAGAGAGAGAGAGAGAGAGAGAGAGAGAGAGAGAGAGAGAGAGAGAGAGAGAGAGAGAGAGAGAGAGAGAGAGAGAGAGAGAGAGAGAGAGAGAGAGAGAGAGAGAGAGAGAGAGAGAGAGAGAGAGAGAGAGAGAGAGAGAGAGAGAGAGAGAGAGAGAAGAGAGAGAGAGAGAGAGAGAGAGAGAGAGAGAGAGAGAGAGAGAGAGCGACTCGCGCATCGAGGCTCTGCTCTCTGCTCTCTCTCTCTCGTTCTCTCTTCTCTCTCTTCACTCTCTCTCTTCACTCTCTCTCTCTCTCTTCTCTCTCGTCTCGTCTCTCTCTCTCTCTATTATATCCTATATATATATATTATGTAGTCTATACATGCATATGCATATTAATCTAGATAAAGTGTTTATTTTGACGACAGACAGACGAATCTGCAGACCTTGCACGCTTGCTTCGCTGTGCGTTGGTGTGATACGGGATGGAGTGTTGTAGGTGATCAGTGGAAATGGTGTTCTCATGGTGCTCTGGACGCTAACACCGAACTATATGCTTCTTGTATGCCCTATCACACATCACGCTCATGATCTTCGCAATGGGGATTGTCAATTGACTAACCTCATCTCTGCTGCCGTTGCATTGGAAGTCAAAGGGTGCTGAAAAATAAAATATTACATAATGGCAGTCCAACCATCAACATGGGATATCAACACCATAAAAGCGTATTAACAGTACACAACGAGCAATACTTGGCGATCTGGCGAATCACCTTGGCGATTCGTCAGACCTCAGCCATACAGCCATTCTCGCCATTCCGATGCTCGGTTGTGCATAGGCTATTAGACACATGATGCACCATCTGAACTCGCAATTACCTACCACAGATTAAATCAAGGTTAAGCATTTTATTCAAGGCCGGTTAACAATGCACGCTTAACCGCCTCAGTGCGTGACTAGTCATTTTTTCGTCATTCGTCATTTGCCTTCACGCGTGAGCCCCTGTATGCTAGTTTTTTTTCCGTGTGAACCTGATGGCGTACCATTTGGGTCTATGGCTGAAAATCACCTTTACATATTCCGCGGTGCTTTTTTCTACGTCTCATACAACTGGTGTCTCTTTGGCACGAGACATGCGTGCACTGGCATATGGTGTCTCTGCCTTCTCCCACCCAGTCTCTAAGCGCACGCTTCCTCAAAATTAACGGAACGCGCATTCGCTCCGTCTCTTTTCGCGCATCATGTTTAATGTCGACAGTATCATAATACTCTGGCATTTGACGCTGTGTTGCTACATACGGTCCGCTACTAAAAGCCTAACGGCTACTCTATCGCGCATCCTATTTCAAGAGAATTTGCAATAAGCACCACAAAACTGCTCTCTGCTGCCCTTGCCCTGAGCACACCTCCACTATAAAAGACGTCGTAAAACAGTGGAGCGAACTGTGCTTATGCACAACTTTTGCCATCTCATCTACGTTATACATTCCTGTACCATTGTTATACATCCCTCGGTCTTATTCGATATCGGGTTCACCGCAATCTTGCCTATGCTGCTACGGCGATCGACGGCCTTGGCCGATCAGCTGATCGTTCGCGCCATTTTCGTTCGCGCCAACGGCGAGTTGGCGCGTGCATTGGAGTTACGGTGTTGTATTGCCCTGGTAGCTACCAATAGGGCCGGTGATAGGTTTAAAACACAGCTCTTTACGTTTCGGCCACCAGCATGGTCTGTCCATATCAAGCACTGCAATTTAGTTTTTATCGGTGCGATCATAACCGGAAACCATTCTTGCGTAATAGGGCAATTGAAATATTCCATCATTAGCAGGTCGTGCTCGGGGAGCACCACGACCTACAGGGGTACATGATCAGAGCAATAACAACATTCTAGCCCCGGCCGATTTTTGACGGGGAGCGCCACGACTTGCGAAACACAAAACGACAACTTGAATTTGGGCCGGTGCAATACCTAACCTCATGCGAACCTGCAACCGTGCGTGTTTGCGGCTTTATGCGTATACCATGAAACGGTGTTTCACTGTACGTCACGGTGAGTCCCTGGCCGACACAGTAGGCCGCTAGTTGACTTACGGGGCCCCATTCAATGTAAATCGCAGGCCACAGTCATGTCCCTGTTTTTAAATGGATCCCACAGCCCAAATCACGCTAGTGGCATTATGTTCAGGAATCGTTTGGAGCACCTTGCAGTAGTTTCCAAATGCGGCAAAGCTATGTCATGCAGTACAAATGGAGATTTCAAAGCAGGCCTGCCGCAAAGTAAGTTGAAGTGTTTGCTTGCAAAAGTGGTAAAAGGTCTGCCGCTGGCACCCGTAGCATACACGGAGGAACGTTTCGGAAAGAGAGGATGATCCTAGTCATATTGTTGGCGATTCTTCCCATCCAATTCCATAACTTCATGCCCTACATTCTCAGAAAGTGGGGATGCCGATAAACACGCTGCATGGGAGGCATATGCCTATAGCTGCAAAATAACATTTGTTCACGCTCGCAGGGGACTAGGTCCTGCGTCGGCCTTAATGTACGCTGTATGTGCTTTGTAGGCCGTGGTGGTGTGCATATCTGATCAGATCATGCTGGCGGCCGAAACGTAAAGAGTCTGCTTATGCCTATGAAAGACTCTGTTGGTAATTCGGGACTGGGTTACTCGAATCACATCTTGTTCGGAAATTATAAAGTCATTTTCTCCACCATATGACGAAAATTATATGCAAATTCTTAAAATGGTGTTGTTGGTAGTGGCAAAGATTTAAATTGTATCGCCACGTTTGAAATGCGTGGATAAGGCCGGCGGCCGAAAGGTAAAATCTAAGATTATACCCATCAGTGGCCATATTAACTCGAAGTCGATTCACCGAAAAGGCATTTTGTTCAGGAATGATTTCAAACACCCTGCAGCCGTTTTCAGACGGCCGGAAGGTAAATCAAAGATTTGGGCCGCAAATGTAATACAAGGTCTGGCGTTGGCACCCGAAACATAGACGGAGGAAGATCTCAGAAGGTGAGGGTGCCCATAGTCATATTGTAGTCGATCCTTCCCATCCATTGCCATAACGCTATTGCTCTACACACATTCTCAGAAACTGTCTAATGGTGGGGGTGCCATAACACTCACGGATATTTCATGTTTCAAGTCTAGGAGAGGCCATTGCCATCTAAATCGTGTCAAAATGGTGTCCACCAGTGGTTGCACCGATGGACACTATTTTGGAATGTTTGTTGGAGACGCATAATGCCGGTAGCCGAAAACGTTGAGTCAGTTCATGCTTTTCTCCGGCCCCATTGGCAACTCAGCGTGGACATGTAGGAATGCGGTTCGTTCATCGATCACCTGGACTTTCTTGCGGTAGTTTCTTGAGGAGTCCTGCTGGGAAGGTGGCTTTCCGCCATTATCAGAATCCCTAGCGATACGAATCGAAGACCATAATTCGTGTCACGTGACGTCGTGAGCAGCAGGTAAAACGCGGCTCATTTTTTACTTCATGTTTTCAAATGGCATCACCATAAGAATGTAAACCACGAGTACGTATGGAGATGCACGTACACTGTAACAGTCTCCCCGAACGTCGTGAGCAGCGAGAAAACAGCCGAAACACGTGTCCCACTGAAAGTTTTCAACTGATGACTGATTCATTCGTCCCAGCGAAGTCATCAGTAGGTTGCAGGACCCGTGTTGTTACGAATACCTGCTTGGTTTTCAATGTTGTCATCATAAGTAGCTTGTGAATCCTAGTGATGTCGCGAGAAGTAAAAGAGGTACAATCTTCACAGGTCTACCAGTGACGTCATGAGAAGCATAAAACTTGTCATTTGAAACTTGTCATTTACCCGGCCTGGTAGGGACGTTTCGTCAGCTGATTAGCCGGTCCTCATTACATACTTGAGCCGACGCTCTTCCCGCCGCTAAACATTGTCGGCATAAAGGTAAATAACTATCTCTGCTGATTCTGAGCTTCTTTTACTAATATTTGATGTACTCTTTTTGCCTGCTAGTGTCTGTTATTGAATAACACCGAGGTCTCATTTGAGATCAGCCTTGTGCTTTGCATGTGTCTGTTAAAACTTACTGCATAATATCATTAATAATAGCCATAATGTACATTTTTTGTTCCAGCTTTCAATGAGACAAAAGGTTTTCACTTTTGTTGCTGCTCACTGAGCCACAAATATCTCAATTTTTGCTGTGCTGTCGTAGAAGCAGGATAAGCTTGCAGCACTGGTGCAGAGAGTAGTAATCTTGCTTAATAACATATGCCCAGGCATGCAAAATGTGTACCTATAGATGCACAGAGCTAGAGCTCATGTGTTCTCCAAGACATGATGTCTGATACCAAATATAAGTCATCCAACAGCAAAAATAATGTGTTCAACATCATGAGATGTTAAATGTTCCTGATGCAGTAGAGGCAAAAAATGTGACTGATATCAATATAAATATGACAGTTAGGCATTAGTTGCAGGACACCAGGTAATTGTGTTTTGTCAGTCATCTCCCTTGTTTTATGCATTGTGCACATACAGTTATAAGTTGCACAGAGCTGAAAAAGCATGCATGAAGAGGTCTGTTAGCTGTACCAGGTAACCCATTGGTGCTGGAAATGCATGTTGGAAAAAAAGGTTGGAGTACTCGTTGCTCTGCCAGCAAATCTATAGGGATGTCAAAATGCCATATCCATGGACATCAGGTATTAATCTGCCATTGACCGTCATGAATGTCGGTGTCCAGTGAGGCCTGTACTATAGTATCTCTTGGCATATCCTGTGCATTATCATACAGGATTTGTATGACCTCGTTTTTCACTCACATAAAAACACATATTACATTGAACAGGGCAGGCATATTTTATTTTTTTAAATCAGCATTCCAATAGCTGTGTCCTGCCACACCCATTTTATTCATAACAAATTGAAAATGAAGTTGACTCTGGACATGCTTTCAGCCATGTCACCACAGTGAGGGCCAGCCAGCATGGCTGAGAGCACTCTGAACTTCAACGTGGGTGTGCTGGGCCACATAGACAGTGGCAAGACGTCACTGGCACGCGCACTCAGCTCGGTGGCGAGCACGGCCAGCTTCGACAAGAACCCGCAGTCACAGGAGCGCGGCATCACCATCGACCTGGGCTTCAGCAGCTTCAGCGTGCCGACGCCGGAGCGGCTGTCAGCGCCCGGCAGCGCGCTGCGCACCGTCCAGTTCACGCTTGTCGACTGCCCCGGCCATGCCTCCCTGATCCGGACCATCATCGGAGGTGGGTCGGGCACTCTGGCCGGCCGAGGCGGACAGAGGTGCCGGCCGGCGCGTGTTGCAGACCGTGTGTCTGGTCCAGCGGCGCCGCGGTGTTGTGGTGGCCGATGCGCCGGTGAGGCACCCGTGGCCACTTGCCGTGATGCAAGGCGTGGCTGAGTCGGTTAAGTGGTATGCCGATACTGTCGGCATCGTTTAGAACTGCTAGAGTTCGTTCAGCGGCTGGCGGCTGTTACTGTGCTGTCATAAACAAACTGTGAGCCTTTAATTTAGACAAGAGGACATGGCAGGGCTAACAGGGTCGAGTTTCGACCAGTGCGTTCATCGACTCTCATCGGCCAATTGGCTTCAGGCGTACCAGACATTATCAGAATGATGCCTCTGGCCTGTGGAGACGGTCGAGAAGGCTCGGAATGAAACGCTTCACAATGTGTAGCCGGCAGTCAAACGCCTGCCCGTCCAGTCGACGTGACGTTTATTTTAGACCCGGGCTGAACGTTGACACAAAGACATGGCGACTCAGCGTCTAGCTAGTCAATAAAGACATACGGTTTGGTAGTGACGTCCGCTGACGAGCTACAGTTCCCTGATAACGGCTCGCCGATGGCGCGTGCTCACGGGGCCGTGATAACGGGGCCGCGTGGCGCGTGGTCACGGGGTGACAGTTTGCAGGAGACCGACCATTCTTCTGGCGTGCTCCGGCGACGTCGCCCCGCTGATGGTGAGGTGTTTCACTGACGCACGATGTTTTGCTGGCGACCGTGATCGGACGGTGACGGCATCCGGTTACTGCGCCGCACCGACTACCACCGTCGGATAAAGTGATTGTAGTGCACGGGCCGGCCATCGCGCGGCTGGAAGACGGCATCCGATTACCGCGCCGCACCGGCTACCACCTTCGGATAAAATAGTTGCAGTGCACGGGCCGGCCGTCGCGCGGCCGGAAGACGGCGTCAGGTTACCGCGCCGCGCCGGCTACCACCGTCGGATAAAGTGGTTGTAGTACACGGGCCGGCCGTCACGCGGCCGGAAGACGGGCGGCGGCGGCGGCGGCGGCGGCAACGGCAAACTGTACGCCCCCACGCGGCTGGCGTCGTCGAAAAATGTGCCCGGCCCGGAACTGAACGCGGCGAACTGCGGCGCGGCGGCAGCCGGCGCGGCCAGCAACGCCCAGCAGACGGCCACCAGCAGAGTCGGACCGGACCGCATGGCGGCGGCGGCGTTGAGGCAGGCGGACTGGCGGCGCCGTCAGGGCGCGGCCGCTGCTGGCGCGGCGCGTGACAGGCTGTCCGTCACCCTGTTGTTGTGCCGTTGCCGCCGGGGGACGGGCTGTGACCTTGCGTGTCAACTGCGTGAAGGGAACGGTCCGCTTTTGACGGGCGAAATTTGTTCTGTTTGGTGCTGTTGTTGCTGCCTCAGTTATGATAGCCCCGTGATCTTTGAGTGTTTTTTATTCCGCGTGGAGGGTACGTAATGCGTTCTGTGGTGTTGTGGTCTGGCTGAATATAGCAAATTTTCGTTTAAATGCCAGATATTGTACTCCTCCCGCAGGAGCCCAGATAATCGATCTGATGCTGCTGGTGGTGGACGTGACGAAGGGCATGCAGACGCAGACGGCCGAGTGTCTGGTAATCGGTGGCATCCTCTGCCGCCGCCTGGTGGTGGTGCTCAACAAGACGGACCTGGTGCCTGAGCCCAAGCGCGCCGCTCACGTGGAGAAGATGAGCCGCCGGCTGCGCGCCACGCTCCAGACCACCAGGTTCCGTGACGCGCCAGTGGTGGCGCTGGCGGCGCGGCCCGGCGGCGCAGAGGGCACCGGCGACGCCTCCGGTACGTGGCGGAGGGATGCCGGCCGGGCCGTGCAGGTTGTGGATAACGACGGTTATGCTTTGTGGACTAGCCCCAGCTAGTTTGGTTTTGGGGCTAATTTCTAGCAAGCTCTTGCTGTCATTCTAGCTAGTTTCACTGGAAATAACTCGTGATTTGGTTTTTGGTGACATGGAGTGGTGCCAGATGGCACTGTACCAGGGTAGATCATCCTCTACAGAGCCAGTGCCAGTTAACACTACTGACTCTTTGGAAGGTGCCACATGTTTAGGATATAATATTGCATGTGATATCATACACGATATGGCGTAAGTGCAATGACAACATCTGACTGTACATATTCCACACAACTTGATTAAGTTGCAACTATAGTAGAAGCGTTGGATAGGGGACTTTCTAAAGGGAAGTAGTGATTGATTAACTCCGCAACTAAAATTGGCGTCATTGCACGCATCCTGCCTTGGTTAGAGAAGGAAACCGTGTCCATCGTCCAGAACGCTACCGAAGTGTTGTATGCGTCGTCGTAACGTGGCACTCTTGAGCTCGTTTTCTGTGGTTTTTGCATTGATACAGGACATCTGTTAATCCTATGGGCTGGAAAGGCTTTTTGATGTGATTATTTTAGCTAAACATGGGATATTTTATATAAGATTGTGCCGCACAATTTCCTGCAAGGTTCACAAAACAGCGGATTTTCCGGATGTTTTTGTCTGCTGGGTATTGCCTCAGGATTGCTTATCGCCTATTGGCCTGGTCGGCACATGGACGGCTTGTTCCAGCTCTTCTTGATCTTTGTTCAGCCCACTCCCATTAGCCATTTCCAGTGGCCGGGCTGCTGGGGTGACCGACTCCCGTCAGCTTTGATCATGTACGATGAATCGTACGACACGAACCATGAACGAATCCTGAACGCCCCTCTAGTCTTAGTGATAATGGGTCCAGTCGTGCTACAAAATCGTGGCTTTGCGCGCGCATACAACCACAATGTCGGCGCATTTTGCGGACATTTCGCTACTTTTCGGTTGCGGGATGCCGCGTCTTCGACGTCAGGAGCTGTCCTTTCCCGCAGCCCTGCGTTTGGAACGAGAACCAGCCAGTCCGTGGTCTTGTTGGGTCGCCAACCTCCTGCTAACCGATTCCAAGCCTACCGTAGACCCTGGCCCGTGCCCTTGAGTCACGTCCTTCACGCAGGCCGGACGCGGGCCGGCCACCTCCACCATCTCCCTGGGCGCCGCCAAATCCGGGCCTTCGGCGCCACTCATCAAACTGTTGAGTCCGCTGAAGCTGCTGGCCGATCACGCGGGCACCGGCGCCTCTGCAGCCATTCAGTTATCGGGCGCCGACTTGTGTCGGGAACGGTGATTGGCCCATTACCGTTTGGCACTTGGACATCACTAATGCATCGCTAAGTGCGCCGGAGCGCGCCTCCTGGCTCCGTATCGACCGTGCTCCGAAGTGGCGGCGGGCGGAGGCCGCGGGGCTCGCCGCTTCACAGGCGTCGAGTCCGGCCGCTGCACTCGCTCGCTGCCCCTCGCCGCCGGGCCAGACCCTCGGCGGCTGCGGTCCTGTACTCGTGGGGTGGTTGAGTCACGCGCTGTTGGCTGGGGAGCCGCCGGCCGCGGGCGGGCGCCGGGCTCTTACAGTGGTGTACTGATCCCCATTATGCGCAGAAGTGTACCGTTCCCGACTTCTGAGAAGCCATGGGCTAACCTCGACTCCTGCGTTATGCACTCAGCTTATGTAGTCATATATTGCTTCCCGGCACCTGCGGGCACGGACTGCTGCCCAGTTCCTGCAGCCGCAGAAGCTGGATCATTCGGTGCTGCAAAACCTGAGTCGCTAAGTGCTGCACTTCGGACGAGCTGTTTTAGTTGTACACCTTCGGCCAAGCCGTGTAACCGCTCACAACAGCCCGGCTCCTGCAGTCATAGATTGCTTCCCGGCCTACGCAGCGTTGCGGAGCTTGACGGTTCCCAGGGGCATGACAGCGAAGTGAAACGTTGATTTTTTCGGGAGGGATCACATCCAGCAGGGGCTTACCTTATCAGTGCTGACCAGGCACCTTGCGCGGCCGGTGACTGGTGTCGCCCTATTGTCAGGCGTGTCAGAGCTGGTGGAGGAGCTGCTGCGCCAGGTGTACGTGCCTCAGCGGTCCGTCAGCGAGCCGCTCGTGTTCTCCGTCGATCACTGCTTCAGTATCCGCGGCCAGGGCACCGTCATGACCGGCACCGTGCTGCAGGGCTCGCTGGCTGTCAACCAGGTACGGCTCCCCGCCACGCACGGGCCGCCGACCGCGCGCACCTCGGCCCCCTCGCCGCGGGCCGCTGGACACCAGGCCTAGCCGCGGCAGAACGGCGGCAGCCGCGGCGCGATGGTGTACGCCGTCGCCGTAGCGGCGTCGCCGAAGGCGCAGGACGACATGTGCTCGCTGATGTGGCAGCGCAGCTGGAGAGAAAGTTGTATTGTGCCCAACGGCAAGAAAATGCCGTCTAAATGCCGATCATGCGAAAATTGTGTGCATGGAGAGCGTCAAAGTCTGTCCCGGGTTTGTATGTGGGTCCTACTTCCGCTTGGTCTTTCCCGGTCCTTGTTTTCATCTCTTTTATTTCAGCCACAGGCGTCTAGCGTATGCAACATTCCTTTAATCCTTTGTTTCATGATGGTAGCATAATCTAGCCGCAACATACAGCACACAGGTAGATAACAAACCTAATACTCAAGAAGCAGACTCAAGCATATCCGCAATATATCAGCGATGCCTGATATGGCAGGAGCATTTCGTTTTTGAGCTTGCGAGAGCTGGAGGTGCAATCACCCCCAGCAGTTACAGGCGAATATCGAGCGCCAGTCGCCATTTCCGACAGGGCTACCAGTAATGGCTCCCAGAACCTCGCGTTTTTAATGAGCTGGATGGATGCAAATTAGTATTGTGGATAAGCTTATTTAAGATCCCGGCCAGCCGCTGGTATGGTATGCAAATTGATTTTTCTTAGTCGGTGAAAATTGGTTTGTTACTTCAAATCCAATTCGATCACCAAACACCCACATCATTTTAGACGAGCTAAGCTGATGGTGCACGCGCATAAGGCTTGCTGTCTATTCAAAAAACTTTCGGACGGCAAGCATTTTCTCTTTGACACCTTGATCTGTACTTGGCACTTCGCCGGCACGGCGGCGCAGGTGACCCGCACCCCGTGACGGCTGTCTGTTATTGCCGGCTGGGCAGTGATCCGCTTACGGTCCGCCGCCGGTCCCGCGGTGTCTCGGGGCTGAGTGGCTGGACGGCGATCCCCCGACGGTCCGCCGCCGGGCCCGCGGTGTCTCGGGGCTGAGTGGCGGGACGGCGATCCCCCGACGGTCCGCCGCCGGGCCCGCGGTTGTCTCGGGGCCGGGTGACTGGACGGCGACCCCCCCCCCCCCCCCCCCGACGGTCCGACGCCGGGCCCGCGGTGTCTCGGGGCTGAGTGGCTGGACGGCGATCCCCCGACGGTCCGATCCCCCGACGGTCCGCCGCCGGGCCCGCGGTGTCTCGGGGCTGAGTGGCTGGACGGCGATCCCCCCTGACGGTCCGCCGCCGGTCCCGCGGTGTCTCGGGCCCGGGGTGACTGGACGGCGACCCCCCCCCCCCCGACGGTCCGCCGCCGGGCCCGCGGTGTCTCGGGGCTGAGTGGCTGGACGGCGATCCCCCCCCGACGGTCCGTCGCCGGGGCCCCGCGGGTCTCGGGCTGAGTGGCTGGACGGCGATCCCCCGACGGTCCGCCGCCGGGCCCGCGGTTGTCTCGGGGCTGAGTGGCGGGACGGCGATCCCCCCGACGGCCCGCCGCCGGACCCCGCGGTGTCTCGGGCCGGGACTAATCGTGGACGGCGACCCCACCCCCCCCCCCCCCCGACGGTCCGCCGCCGGTCCCGCGGTGTCTCGGGGATGAGTGGGCTGGACGGCAGATCCCCCGACGGGTCCCGCCGCCGGTCCCCCGCGGGTGTCCTCGGGCCCTGGTGGCTCTGGACGGCGAACCCCGACCTGTAAACTCCACACTGCCACCATGTGCCTGGCCCTGGCAGACGGGTTCGAGGATCCCGGCGGCTGAAGGTCACCAAGAAGGTTCAAAATCGCTTTTACAATGTTCCCGCCTGGTCCCGTGTGGAGCGGCGCCATTCCAGGGCGGACCAGAAGGTCGCGCGCCTGTGTGCGTTCAACCACAGTTCGACCCCAAAACAACACTGGGAGCTGCGGTCTGGTGGCAGCGGTGGGGTATCTGCCCACCATCACGGGCCTGCATCATACAGCTGCACAGGTATGCCGTCGTCGGTTATGTGCTATACCGAGCTGTATCATCCAGCTGGCGTCAGGATGTGCTTGTTCACAACCGTGGCGAGTGTAATACACCCACACGCGTAATCGGTTACATTGCCTCCGTGTTAGTCCAGCGCATTTGCATCCCGGACTCGCTTGTACGCCATGTTGTGCTATCCGTCATTAGTTGGATAACTATGCGACTCCTTCCTTAGCTGTGAATAACGGCGACCGTCCAGCCTGTGATGAGGTGCGATGCAGATGCCTGCCTCAAGGGACCGGTGTCGAAACTCGGCCTCTAATAATGGCACCCGCTGACTTGGTACGGCCCGTTTGATGCGTTGGTCTCAGAACGAATTCCCCGGGCCAGTGGCTTTGGTGATCTTCGTCGGTCTCTGTGTGATGTGCGGGAGGCAATCTTGGACAGGGTCTGTCAAGTTTGGTGGGCTCCGCAAGCATGGACATCGGGTGCTGTGCCTTAAAGGGAATATTCTACATTTGAAGATATTGAAAGAAGCATCAGCTGGATGAAATAGCTCATGTATAACTACATGTATACTTCTAAGTGGAGAAGACTGCTCTTGATAACACAATTTCTCTGGTCAGTAATTATGCTCCCCGATGCGTTAATCTTTGATTACGGCGCCGTACCTTGCGAGACAGTGATTAGAGCTAATTCGCGGCCATGATATCTTGAAGTCGTGCGCACGAGCGCCAAAGATGAACGACTTGACAATCATATTTTTCTGGACGTCGATCGCCGTACGGCTAATGAAATGGCAGAATTTGAGTTACGGTACTGTCGCATAATGTATGCCTGGGTGACCTTGAAAGAGTACTCCGAAATAGTCCACATCTTCTCGGGCACATGGCTCAGAATCTAGAGGGGGCTAAGTCTAAAGAAGGGCAGGGCTGCGGACTTTGCCGAATGATCTTCAAGATGGCTCTTCCATTTCGAAACCCATACAAATGTGGAACGTTTCTTGTAAATATTTTGGGCCGCTTTTGTCACCAGTTGTCTCGCGCTGCAGGGCGTTTTCATCAGGAAGCATTCCGTCTTGGGAAGAGGCATCGTGTTACATGCCACGGCACTCTCCGGTATGAATGGGTTCTCTCCGACACGACATTGGACTGCGACCGATATCATCGTTCCATAAAGCATGCTATTTCATAAAGCAAAGCGTTCCTAAAGCTATTCGGATTTTCAGTCATTCAAACGATCATTTGGGACCCAGTCCGCTCAAAGAAACTCACGGGCATTTCGCGGCTGCATGAAAATAGTTTCCAGGATTGATCGCAGGGCGTCCTGATGCCGAGTACCAGGAGCGGCGGCCGTCGCCGGGCGCAGCGAGTGACTGTGGCGTCGGGGACGGGTCATGCCGTGACGCGGTGCCGCTGTGCCGGAGCCGGCCCGGCGCCGCACGAGCCGGCTGGTGACACAGTGGCCGGCCTGGGGCATTGACGTGAACTGTCGCCCGGGGCCGGCTCACGACCAGCCCCGACCCCTCTGGTTACCACCAGCCGAGATGGTGTTTGCTCCTGCCCCGGGCCGGCTGGTGACACAGCGGCCCGCCCGGGGCGTTGACGTGAACTGTCGCCCGGGGCCGACTCACGACCGGCCCCGACCCTTCTGGTTACCACCAGCCGAGATGGTGTTTGCTCCTGCCGCCGGCTGGCGTGATGGCGCCGGCGATATAATGGTAATGTGCAATTTGTATGCCGTCTTGGGACGGCCGTGAGAGCGTATCCGTCCTCTGTTTGTCCGTAAACAAACGAGACCTTTGAAAGCGCCTGCGGGACGCCAGCGAGATCGCGCACCCATCTGGGAGCGTGATGCACCGCCGCCGGGCGTCTGGCCGCGCAAGCTTGAGCGTATTCATTGGGCTGCTTTTATGTTCACGCGTCAGCCAGAAGAAGCGTGCAACGATGTGAAATCCTTTTTCACAGGGCAGACAACCACGGTTTGTTGTGTCCCGCTGGTGCTTTTTTATTATTGAAGGCAGCTATCTCTGACATTGATCTTTGTCGTTGTTTCACGAGGGTTTATTGGTCCGGCTCTTTCCCTCCCGACATAGGCACCTCGGACAGTGTGTGGCTTGCGGAGAACGTCGTAAAACCCTGTGATGGCAGTGGCTCGGAGCGACATTCTGGCAAACGTGTGGCTTAGTTTGGCAGCGGACATACCGTGCGCTGTAAGCACTCGGGCCACGTAGCTGCCCTGTCTCGGCGTCTCGGCTGTGGTTGACCTGCTGTTGGGCCCGCACGGGCGGCGGAACGCACGCTCCGATCATGCCGGTGCTGTCTCAGCGGCACCCGCGATGCCGCCGTCTTCGGTCTTGAACAGTGTCCGTGCTGACTCCCCCCTGCCCATCGGACTCGACCACCGTCGGGAATCGTAGAGTCGGAGCTGGGTCGTCCGGGCCAGATGACCTGACCTCGGGACCTGACCAGTGCGCACCTAATGGACATGACGTCGGGAGAGTGGCGTCGGTGCGGTCGCGGCCCGTGGTCCGCATGCCCGGCACGACACATGCGGCGCGTCGCCACTCGGAGTCCCCCTCCCCACCTGTGGCACCCACGTCAAATCACCGTCCACCGACGTCACGTTTGCTCGCGCGCCGTACGTGCATGCCGCGCGTGGGCTGCGACACGGCCTCAGGGGCGCCGCCGCCCAGGCGGCCAGATTGGTTTAGCGTCGGCGGATGCCAGCGTCTGACCGCGTCCGTCCCCCGGCGCCGGCACTGATAAATCTGATACCGAAGCCGCGGCCCAGTCGCGGCCGCGTAGGCGACTGCCGGTCCGCCGCACGTTATCGGCGTGGCGAGCAACGTTCACACGTCTCTCGTTATGGCGCCAAATGACCACCGCAGTCGGAGCGCCCGTCAACTCCAATCAACAACAACAAAAACGTTCGCAAGGAACGAGCCGGCTGACTGGCGACCACTGCAGTCGGACGTAACGGCTGCGGAGGTGGTGCACGTGACGTGATAGCGCGACGTGGATGCGCTGGGCGTCGTAAGCCCAGCGCGTGATGTTGATTGTCTGAGGCGTTTACACCACCGCGCTGTTGTAACTAGACTCCTCTCCCTCCACACCGCCGTGCGCAGAGTCTTAGCGTCGCCGGCCGCCATCACGGCGTGCCAGCTCCCCGCCGTGACGTCGTCACTGTCCGCCGTGACGTCACTGCTGACCGCCATGGCGTCGGCACTGCCCGCCGTGACGTCACCGTCCCCTGTCGGCAGAATCGACTACTTCCGCGGCGAGATTCGCAGCAAGAGCCGCTTCCACGTGACGCTGGGCCACGACACGGCCATGGCGCGGATGACGCTGTTCGCCCGGCCCGGGCCGGCACCGGCCGCTCCAGCCGCCGCGCCCGGCGCGGACGAGGCCCGGGCGACGCGCAGCAGGCGGACGAGTTCGACGCGGGCGCCG